CTCATCTTGCAATTGGAAAAATGTTAAATAACTTGCCCAGGTGCCTATACCCTATTATCTAGGCACAAACTATTGCAAATGAGGAAAAAACCCCTTCAACAGGCTTCCTGTTTGTGCTGAGCTGTGATTTCTGGTTTGGCAGCTGGTGGCGGCTGATATATGGGGATTTTCTGGGGGTCTCCAGTTCCAGCGGCCAAGGCCCAGGGTGCGATGTCCTGACCTCCTAAATCGTTATAGGGTGCAGAGAACACCGGGCCTTAAACATATAAAGATGCCATTGCCATAAATACTATATTCTCCAAAGTCACAGTGCTTTGCTTGTCCTGGACAGGCAGCTGAGTGTGTGTGTGTGAGTGTGTGTGTGTGTGTGTGTGTGTGTGTGTGTGTGCTCTCGCGGTTTGGGGCAGGTGAAATGGGGTCATCCAGGGGAAGCCCAGTCTTAGCTTTGGGCTGGGCAAGAGGACCATCTCATCACAGCCCCTACCCCAAATCCCAGGTTTCAACATGCACAGGCCTATGGGGCAGAATCACACCGAGGCTACTGGAGTATCCTGGATCCAGCCTGGCTGGCTTGAACCAAGCCTCAGAAGAGCTGTGCCTGGAGCAGGCTCTGGACTCCCCAGGCGGCAAGTGGTCCCCCCCCCGCCCCCCGCCTGCACATCAGTCCCTGCCAAGGCCCTCGACCCTTCGGGGCTCCTGGCCTCAGCGCAGGCGCCGCTCCGGCTCCGTTCCCTGCCCAAGAGGCGCTGTAAAGAGGCACAGGCAGCGAGGACAGGTCTCATCTCGCGCCGGGGCCGCCTAGGCCTCCAGGGCCGCTGTCTCCAGCGCGCGTTCTTGGTGCAGGTGGCACAGCTCTCCGCGCGGGCCGGGGTTCCCAGATCACGAGAGAGACTCATCTTGGGTCTTGACCTCCCAGCCGCAGAGCGGGCTCCACCGCTGCTCCACTTCTTCCCATTCCTTCAACTTCTCACCCGCAAACGAACAATCCCAGGCCGGGCAGGACCCGATCACCTCTGCCTCCTCTCACTGCACTAATCCCGCGAGCGAGGGAGGCCCCTGCGCCGAGGCGGTGGCTGGCAAAGGGGAGTGGAAAGGGAGGATGGATGGGGCCGAGGGGTGGGGTGGTGATGAGGGGGATGTAGGAGGGGGTGTCATTTTCTTTTTCTTTCTTTTTTTAAAAAAAGTATTTCTCTCGCGAGAAACCGCTGCGCAGACGATACTTGAAGAGGTGGGGAAAGGAGGGGGCGCGGGAGCCGCGGCAGAGACTGTGGGTGCCACGGGCGGACAGGCGGCCACAGCTGGAACAGC